CAGTTTCTACTAATGGTTTCCTTCTGGTACCAGGAGCAACATCTTGGAGACAGCACTATAAAAAATACTCTTCTTACAAATAGGGCATTAAAGGGGACATATCATGCTGATGTTCAGGTGCATGGAGTGTCTCTACTTTAAAGAGTCCTCTCCTGCTGATGTTCAGGTGTATATCAGTATGTCGTGTCTCTACTTTAAAGAGTCCTCTCCTGCTGATGTTCAGGTGTATATCAGTATGTAGTGTCTCTACTTTAAAGAGTCCTCTCCTGCTGATGTTCAGGTGTATATCAGTATGTAGTGTCTCTACTTTAAAGAGTCCTCTCCTGCTGATGTTCAGGTGTATATCAGTATGTCGTGTCTCTACTTTAAAGAGTCCTCTCCTGCTGATGTTCAGGTGTATATCAGTATGTAGTGTCTCTACTTTAAAGAGTCCTCTCCTGCTGATGTTCAGGTGTATATCAGTATGTAGTGTCTCTACTTTAAAGAGTCCTCTCCTGCTGATGTTCAGGTGTATATCAGTATGTAGTGTCTCTACTTTAAAGAGTCCTCTCCTGCTGATGTTCAGGTGTATATCAGTATGTAGTGTCTCTACTTTGAAGAGTCCTCTCCTGCTGATGTTCAGGTGTATATCAGTATGTAGTGTCTCTACTTTAAAGAGTCCTCTCCTGCTGATGTTCAGGTGTATATCAGTATGTAGTGTCTCTACTTTAAAGAGTCCTCTCCTGCTGATGTTCAGGTGTATATCAGTATGTAGTGTCTCTACTTTAAAGAGTCCTCTCCTGCTGATGTTCAGGTGTATATCAGTATGTAGTGTCTCTACTTTAAAGAGTCCTCTCCTGCTGATGTTCAGGTGTATATCAGTATGTAGTGTCTCTACTTTAAAGAGTCCTCTCCTGCTGATGTTCAGGTGTATATCAGTATGTAGTGTCTCTACTTTAAAGAGTCCTCTCCTGCTGATGTTCAGGTGTATATCAGTATGTAGTGTCTCTACATGTCTCCATGCTTTGATGTTCAAAAAGCTCTTTATTTTTCTCATACTGTCTGTGCTGCAGCACCTCTTTTCACCCTCTGTCTGAAACCAGAGCCCAGTCTGCTCTGATTGGTTAGCTGGCCGGCTCTGTTGTGATTGGTCAACCGCTTAGAGATGTCCCCGCCCCTTAGGCTATCACATACAATGTGTTTGAGCGCTAGCCAATAGAAATGCGAGTGTTACATAGTGATGACGATAGGGCCGCTTTAGACAAAGCTCTCAGGAAATGTTACCAAACCTGACAAAGATTGAAAAGCTTGAGGTGAACAACTTGTTCAACTGCATTCAATATGTGATGTATTATGAATTGAATGCATGTGATAGTATAATACAATGAATGTGTGTGTGACAAGTTGGAAAACGTGTTTACTGATGGATCATTTAATCATTTCTGAGATGATTCATTTGTGTCATTCATCAATTTACAATTTTCCTTTCTTGTTTATTCGTAATTTCTATAATTGAGACAGTCATCATATAAGTTCAGGACAGTTTATTTTGGGGTGAATCATAAGAATGTATGTTCAATAAAACTGAAAAGAAAGAAGCTCTCTGTTACATGCTTTGAAATTGTAATTGTTGGATGCTTTAAAAAACGTTTTTGTGAAGTTTTATTGTCATTTCATGACACCATCTAGGGCAGTGGTTCTCAAACTTTTTCATACCAAGGACCAGTTAACCAATAAAAAAACACTCGCGGACCACCTAACTCCACAAATATCCCAAAACACATCATTTTTTACAAATCGTCTGAAAATGGTACAAACGAGTGGCCACATGTGGGATGAAGGTGTTTATCTGGGCTATATCATGCAATCGAATAGTGAAACTTAACCTCGCTCCATTGCGGAGATATTCCCGCGAGAGTGCGGAAAACTTAAATGTATTTATTTATTTCAAATGTGAAATTTTACCAATATACTCACGGACCACACTTTGAGAAGCACTGATCTAGGGCCATCATCGACTAGCCAATTACTGGCAGATTTAAAACCCACTGAATCATGAAGACATCTCTAGTTTAATTCTCGTGTTTAAGTGCTCATCATTTCATTTACTGCAGCATGGGGTACCACCAGGATCAGAGACAGGCCATATTCACTCTACCGGACAGTATTTAATTTTTCAATCTGTTGTATCTTATTCCATTTATACATTCCCTAATTCCTGCATTTAAATTGCACAGTTGGGTCTCTTGCACTTGATGTATTTGTAACTATACTGTATGTTGGAGGAGCCTGGTATTTGCTGTGTGTACAACAAAAAAAACCTTCCTTCCAAATCCTTGACTTGTTCAAAAATGTAATTTCGCATGAGAATAAATCAGTTTCTTATTTGTCTTATAGTGTATGCCAGGGGGGTCAAACTCAAATATACAGTGGGCCAAAATAAGAAAATGGGTAGCCTACTAGTGGAGGGCCGGACTGGTTCAATGTTTATTGCAAAACGTATTGAAATGAACTTACTGCACACATTAAACCTGGAACTAACATAGCTTCAATGATTGCCTATAAAAACAACATTACACATTAAATAATCAGTTGCATTAATTTCTTATGGCTCTATCTGCAGCTTCATTTCTTATGATTACATTTTTCCACAGGCCAACAACAGCTTCAACAAAACTATTTCCCTCAAAGAACAAACCAAACATGCCCTGTTGTCGTGAGAGAGAAAGTGCAGAAGGAAACATCCATTGAACTCAGTGTGCTGCTCTGTGAAGCTAGTTCAGATACTTAGCATCTCATCTTGGGTGCAAGTTCATCAATGTTTGGGCTCAGGCTCTGAGCTGAGGAGACCCTCAGGATGGAGTGAAGGTGTGCGTGCAATATACCGGCGGGCCAGATCTAATAGTAATTACAAATTATCCTGCTGGCCGAAATTAAATCCACCAAGGGCCTGATTTGGCCCCCGGGCCTCGAGTTTGACACATGTGGTGTATGCTCTATAACGGTTGTGTCTGGCATTTTAAGCCTGCATTAATAATAAAAAAAGGTTAAGTCAGACAGGAGAGACACAGTCCTCACATAGGCACCATGTTATGGTTTGTTGCATTGTTGGTGAAGACTTTCGACTTCCATTGATAAAAGACCCTGTAGCTGCTGTGCATGATCATAGAGCAATGTAATCCTTTGGAAATAAGTAATACACAAATTTAAAAATTGAGAATAAAACGTAACAACTGATTATCCGCCGATTACTCTAAGAGGGTGCAGCCTGAACACTTTTGCCAGTATTAAAGCGTTAAAATGAGTCCGCTCACATGATGCTTTGGAAAACAAACAGGGAACACAAGAAAAGCCTGAAGTCATTCTTGTTCCGGAGGCAGCGCCCAACAAAAGCCCCTTTGACACAAGTAAAAGCATCTAAATGATTTCCTGTCCTGAGGATAACACCAGCTCCAGTGACGTGTTCTCTCTCCTCATCAGGATGACGGATAGATACAAAGATACCTGCAGATACCTATAAAGCACCAGCAGATGGCGCTGCAGCCCCACTGCGCTCACACACTTTTATATGAGTGTCCATCAGTGGGAACTTGGCACACACTCGGAGCAGAAACCCTCCGGTGTCCTTCAGCCAAGTGACTCGGTGTAGAAGGAGCGAGTCACTTACCCGGTGATGGATAGATTACAGCCATCACTCTGGGAGCCAGCTTCCCGATGTGAGCTGAATCTCAAAGTCCATTTGTTAGCGCTCTCTCTGTACTGACAGATGGTAAAGAGGGGCTCATTTGAATCTGCCGCAATCTGAGGTTGGAGGTCAATCTACTTCCAGACATTTGGCTGTGATCACATCGGTAATTTATGTGGCGAGGCGTTCACGTGATGGAGAAAAGGTCCTCGGGTTTATGTGAAGGCATTAGGCTGAACTCGCACCGCCGGATCGACACAAATGTGCGGAGATAGTGGCCGTTTTATTACCTGAATGACTTTTCATTTTATATGAGTTTAAATCAACCGTATAAATGCAAACACAATTTCATCTAATGAGGTTTCTTAACTTGCAACTGAAGCGTTTTATCAGAGTCAGGAACACTTTGACGTACCAAGGAGTCATTGGGAACACAAACATATTTCTGATTAAGTCCATTTCAATTTCATTTAATTACTATTAAAGAAATTGCAATTAGTTCAGAAAGCTGCGGGCAGGATTTTAACAAACCCACATTTCACCTGTGCTGGAATCACTGGTTACTGGTGTCCTTCAGAATGGATTTGTAAGTGCTTTAAAATGATTTACAAGGCTTTACATAACCTTACCTCAACATATGTAAGTGACCGTCTCATTTTATCAAGAGCAGCAACCTCCATTGGAATTGGAAAAGTAAATTAAAGACCTATTTTTATTATTTGGCTCATCATTTGGGGCAATTGTAGTTTTTTAGTAGCATCAGTCATGTTTTTATTGTTTTATGGTTCAGTGATATAATTCTTTGTTTGTTTATACCTTGTTTTTAATTATGTTCCAAATGTGTTCATTTTCTGTCTCTGTAAAGCTCTTCGGTGTCAAGCATGAGGTGCTATAAAAATAAAGTTGTCAACTGAAAATGTAAAACTATGTTTAGCTCCAGCAGCAACAAGAAAAGGGTTGTTTGATGCTAATAATTAGATGTCTGTGGACATGTTCTCCCCCCATTACCACTCCACTGTTATTACCCCCCCCCTCAGAAGTCTCCATCTATCCACAGCCATTGACCAGCAGGAGCTCGATGCCATGACTTTGGAGTCTGAAGATGCTGTGATTACCAGCCGAGTGGTGGGCTATTGATCGGGGAGGTGGGCTATTGATCGGGGAGGTGGGCTATTGATCGGGGAGGTGGTCAGATGATCGGGCTCGCAGTGACTGCAGGCGAGGAAACTGGCTACAAGTGACGGGTCAGCACTTAGAATCCAGAGGACGAACAGCATCAACACAGCTCAAATAAAAACAATCATCATTTTCCTTTGGAGAATAATTCCATTTAATCTGGGGGGGGGGGGGGGGGGTTATGCAAGAATGTGTGATGGGTGTTAGTTTTGAAAGTCTCATGAGGGTTTCTTCAGGGAGTTTCAGAGAGGGGGGGCAGCTTTGAGCTGCCGGCCCCTGGTCTTCCTGCGGGACTCTTTTAGGCTCTCAGGGGAGGTGTGGGGGATCCAGACCATCCCCCCCGCTGAGCCGTCATGCTTCACTCCGCCATGGTTCCTTAGGCTGCGGCGCACCGTGCGGCGCCCTCTGCTGGCCACAGGTTTGAACACGTCCTCAAAATGTAAGTAATCCTGCCAGGGGGCCAGGTTCAGGGGGGCCAGGTTCACGGGGGCCGGGTTCACGGGGGCCGGGTTCACGTGGGCCGGGTTCACGGGGGCCGGGTTCACGGGGGCCGGGTTCACGGGGGCCAGGTGCAGGGGGGCCGGGTGCAGGGGGGCCGGGTTCACGGGGGCCGGGTTCACGGGGGCCGGGTTCACGTGGGCCGGGTTCACGGGGGCCGGGTTCACGGGGGCCAGGTGCAGGGGGGCCAGGTGCAGGGGGGCCAGGTGCAGGGGGGCCAGGTGCAGGGGGGCCAGGTTCACGGGGGCCGGGTTCACGGGGGCCAGGTTCACGGGGGCCAGGTTCACGGGGGCCAGGTGCAGGGGGGCCAGGTGCAGGGGGGCCAGGTGCAGGGGGGCCAGGTGCAGGGGGGCCAGGTTCACAGGGGCCACCCCCACCACCTCCTCCTGGCTGTCGGAGCTAGACCGGATGTTGTCTTCCTGTTCCTGCGCCTCGTCAGGGAGCGTTTGAAGCGGCTCTGCCTGCTTCATCTTCACACAGATGTTTCGAGAGCACTTCCTGCCCCGAGAGGTTTTCCTCTGAACCGTCAAAGTCTTGCGAGACCCTCCCCCTGAGTTTGGAGCGTCGACACTGCCATGATTTTCTAACTTTCCCTCAGAGTCTGTGCAGGGAGTCTGTGCAGCAGTGTGGAGGTTTTGTTCAGCGTCTACTTCTTCCTCTGGCACCGGGGTCTCCCTGGATGCCTCTTGGTTTGTAGTGTGTTGGTCTTCACGCAGCTCCTCTGTGGTTCCTTCAGTCTGGTTAATGAGCAGGAAGTCCTCAGCACAACTGACCTTCATATTCTTCGGTCCACTGCTCCTCTCCCTCTGTACCGACGCCTTCCTGCTCTTCCCTATGGCGCTTTCTGTACAGGAGGGTGGAGATGTGACAGCGTCTTCTGAAGGATCTTCCAGCACGTTTGTCAGGTCGACAGTCGCTTGAGTATCGTTGAAAAACTCAGTGTTCAAGTGGGTCTCGTGATTTGGAGCTGTTGGGAGAAATGAGGAAAAAGGGAAATGAATGTTACTAACAATTTCTAACTTTCAGGAATCAAACTTAATTCGGTAACTCCAACTAGAGCTGTCCATACATCACGATTATTGTTGCCAAAATGATTCACAATGACGATCTCAGAGTTCCTAAAGCTTAAGGCATTTAGGAGTTTTATTTTGATGCCCCAGCACTGAAATCATATTTTACATTCACCTTTATGGATCAGTGTGATGTTAATGTGAGAGGGATTTGGTAAGTAATAAAAACAGATATTATTTAAGTTTTTACAATGCCGCATAGGAAAATAAAAATAAACCTGTGTTATACCTTTTCAGACTTTGGAAAGGTTTATTTAATTATTTAAATACCAATACCTTTTTAAAGAATCCATGTGAACCATGGATAGCTTTCAGTTTGTTCTTTATCTTTGGTTATTGTAGGTTTCACCCCCATTTCTGACACATTAATTACACTAATGTGTGTGGGGTTAATGAGACAAGGTGAACACAAACACATTCATTATTTAAGAAGTAATAAAACTTGGATGAACAAAATACACAGTTCATAAGACAGAGTTATTGCCTGCATGTTGTACCTGTGCAGCTGTGGGGGGGGTCCTGTTGAACAGTTGGAGTCAGTCTGGGGGGGGACGGCTTCTCTGCGATGGGACTCAGATTTGGGTTTTTGCAGACGTGCACGCGGGGGCCGTACCTGGAGCGGTCCACGTCTTTGCTCCACCGCCGAGTCGCTACCTGAGGAGACAAGATGCACTGTGAGAAGGGGGGGATGAGGGCCTGACATGTCATCTCAGTAGGTACCAGACATTTTTTTATTGGGGCAAATGTATGGTCTTCTATTATTGTGTTTAAATTAGGGCTGTCAAGTTAATAACGCGTTAATACAACAAAAAAAATAACGCCACTAATTATTTTAACGCGATTAACGCATGTGTATTGTTTGTCCTCTGCCGCCCCGTAGTTTCAGAGCGCATCGAGTTTAAAATACCATCTACAAACTGATGCTGACAGCCCCGCTCCTGCCGCCCGCTTGTGGCAGACCACACTTCCACGCTCACCGGCAGGCACCTGACTGGCCATCTGGAGGACCGGGAGGGTGTGTGTATGTGTGGCTCGAGCGAGACCTTACGTGTATTGTTGTTGTTAGCATCTGGTGCTAGCTAGCAGCGCTAACGGATATAACAGAGGAGCGCTCTATCCACACAACTGCGCCGAGCACTTGACTTCATGCAGGAAGCCAGACAGTGGGACATTGTACGAAAAGTCAGCACACTCAGCACGGATAATGTGCGCAACATGATTGCAGCGTCCAGGCAGCTCCCGTTCGAGCATATGCCTCCATCACACACACATTTGTATTGTATTATTGTATGAGAGGTTCCAGGTTGAATGGAGGCGAATATTTGTAATGTTCAGAGGTTGTTGTGTTTAATATTCATGAGAATATTTGTCATTGTTCAAATGGCTTAGCATAAAGTATATTTGTCCACTCATATGTTGATAAGAGTATTAAAAACTTGAAAAATATTCCTCTAAGGTACATTTAGAACAGATCAAAAATGTGCGATTAATTTGCGATTAACTATGGACAATCATGCGATTAATCGCGATTAAATATTTGAATCGACTGACAGCCCTAGTTTAAATGTATACTTATTCTAGCCAAGGCCTTAAAGGTCTCCTATCATGCTATTTTTAGGCATATATTATGGCTCTCAGATATATACAAATATATGAAAAACATGTCTATGACGTGTTTTGCTCAAAATACCAAACAGATCATGCATTTTAGACATCCGTCATATCCCTGTTTCAGCCTTGTTAGAGAACTGCTGATTCTGGGTCCTTAGCCAAAAAAAAAAGAAGGGGGCTGGGGGCTAATGCCTGCTCAGAATTCTACCGAGAGATTCTCAGCTAAATACTGCTGTGATGAAATGCAATATGATGTTCTAAACCACATCAAGGATTATTTCTGAAACAGTATGGAGCTCAAATACTCAGGGCTCGACATTATAAATGGCCCGCTGGCCTGGAAGCACTATTTAGACACCCCGGGCCAGCATAACGTACTTTCCACTTGCCCGCTCGGGCCACTAAAAATATTGCTTTAATTTTTTTTCCTGTGGTATAGGTATTTTGACAAGCAATTTAGTTAAATTGTTTCGTTTATCAACGCTACAACATAGCGGTTCGTGAGTCGGTTGTCGGGTGAAAAGCAAACAGCTGTTTGCTGCGGAGCGCAGCGCGAGCGGGCTCCTGTGAGCGCGCTCCTTCACTCCAGACTATCGCGCCACCTAACCATTCACCAAAATGTTTTTAATACCAGCGGTAACCGGCCAAGCGCCGTGCAAAAAACAATCTTCAAATAAAAGAAAGTCACCGGAGGAGTTCAAGGAGAGTGACAGAAAGAAGTTAGAGAGAAAGTTTCAGCCAGCTTCATCGATGGAGTTGAGTGTTAGCGATGCTAATGTAAACAAAAACCATATTACTTCCGAAAACGTTGCGCATTGATTCTGATAGCAACGTTTCTAATAGGGCCGTGGACAGGCTTGGAATTTCGTCATTTTAGGGGCAAGGCCATTTGGCCTTTGGTGTTACACATTTTTTCAAGGTGCAAAGGCCACATGCCAGAGCACAAAGGCCATTGAGAGAAACATTTGGATTTGGAGCTTACAAATAAATAACTTCACTTCACAGAAAAACACACGAATGACATGGAAAACAAATCACTTTTTTAATATCAATAATGTCAAACATGATATCATATAGGCCTATGCCTCCTTAGTATTACCGCATATAAAATAAAATACTTTACTTTGAATAATTAGTGTTTGGTATGTTTACCATATACTACTTCTCCCATTCACAAATCCAAAATTCTATTAATATGTAACAAATATATTCCATTTCAGAGCAGAAGAAACAGCCTTCAATGGTCAAACTCTGCACATCATTCAGCAGTGCACAGTGAAGTGTGTGTGTGTGTGTGTGCGCGCGCGAGAGTCTCTTTAATCAACTCCTCACAGCTCTGGTCAGAAACTGGACAAAAGTTAAACAAGTACAAACCACAGACTGTCATGGCGAATACAATCGCTGCTTTAATTCCGTCTTTAGGACGTTGTTGTGAGTGTGGACGGAGCAGCTACAGGTTAGTTTAGCCTGATTGATCCATTCAGAAAACACGCATTTTAAAAGGTTTTTCTCTGCCGTCTGTCTGCAGACTTGTCAAAGCATTAATTAATGTTTTTTACTAACCGGTATCAGTACGTAGTTGCTTCGGCATCATTTTGAAACGTGTATTACAATTAAATCACGGTAAAATATGTTCATGTTGTCGTAGTTGGTTTCCACCACAGTATTTATAGCCGCGGTGAAACTCCAGCGGTTAGAGCGATGAGAATATTTGCATCACGTCCGTTGTGAACGCAGCATAATGCAGTTCAGAAAACACTGTTCTGTCACTTTTAAAGCAACTTCTAGATTTTAACAGCATCAGGGGCACGCAGGCCGTACAATTATTTGTGGGGCATAACGGCCAGACCGAGGGGCTACGACGGCCATGGCCGTCATGAAAATCCTACCCTGGCCGTGGGTCTAAAGCCCGCCCACATTTCAGATATTACGTCATTACTAGCTTCTACACGCGAAAGCAACTCAAATCTCTCACCAGCAAAATACCTCGTCAGTTAAAAGCCATTTTACGTTTCCTTACTATGCGATACAGTATTTATTATCGTTATAGTATTTACTATTTTGGCGATTAAATAACATACAAGTTATATTTGATGCAACTTTAGTT